GTGGTGGGTCCGAGACGCCAGTCGCCGCAGTAGTAGCGCGAGTCGTCGCCCACGGCGCCGGTGCAGTCGCATTTCGCCTGCCGGGATGATGCCTTTGACAAAAGTTAAGAATGCGCGAGAAAACGTAAAGGATGGAGGGACCACCGGCGCTGCGACGACGACAGATGCATGCAGAATGCAAGCCAAAAGGAAGCAAGAGAGAGGAGCAATTCGAAGCATCGCGGCCACTCGACTTTGTTTCGCCTGGACCCAGATGAAGTTCAACCTCAAGGCGGGAAGTTGACCCCATTTTTTCAGTACAACTCGGTTCGACTTATATATGCGGTCCACAATTTACGGCAACGACTAGCGAGGCGAGTACATAGCCGTCGGGAGAGGGGGATCCTGATGCTTTCTTTGCCTTTGCCGTCATATTCGCATTAAACATCACATAAACTCTTACATCGCGCTTGCCTAGCGTCTTTCTTTTGGCGTGTATGTGGACCAGCTCAAATAGGTCCACACATTAGCCTGCGGGATGGTGGAGAGCTGGCGTTGACTCTAATCTAGATAATATATGGTTGAACCAATTGCAAATTCAGTCGGATTCACGCGCCAATGCTTCTGCAGAGGTGAGGGCACTGCTAGCACGCCACAACAAAGGTGTGGGCAAACACTCCAAAAAAAAAAAAAAAAAAAAAAAAAAGCAAATTCAGTCGGACGGGCCGCCGGATCGGAAAGCCGAAATGATCTGCAAAAAATCTTTTCCAAATCCATCACTGGCAGCATGGTAGCAGGCTCAGCTGTTGCAACGCGACTTGCTGTTTCAGCTCGAGCTCTGAACTCTGCTGTACGTGTTCAGACATCTCGTACAAATCTCTCGAACCGGCTTGCGCAGAATAACACCATTCTTTCTCCGCTCAGGAGGATGCCACCCCAACTGTCCTGTCCGAGATCTTTTCGTGGACACTGCCGTCTTCCGGCGACTTGTTGGAAAGGGAAGTCTTGCTCGACCAGAAGGACGCACCGTGGGTGCTGACTCGCGTCAGTAGCCTTTAGAGAATACTTGCATTGTCGACCCCTTCGCTGCTGGTAGTCATTGACTTCCACGATCAATCCCTTTCATCTAGATATCCTCTGGGGACAACTCTGGAAACTCAAATAGCTCGGGCGAAACAGCACAAGTTGAAGGTTCATTACGAAACGAAAAATCCTGGCTCTCAAGTCGAGATACTGCGACTTTTGTCGGAACATTCTTTCCGTCAATATTGATGACATTACTAAAGTATGTGGATAAGTATGTGGATCTTCTCAAATACAAGTTATACAACCCAACTCAAAGCACTCCTCTCCTTCAATCTGAACCTGGTTTATCATCCGCTCCGATCCTCGCCAAATATCCATCCGCCACCAATGCCTCAATGGTAACCGCGGAGAAGTACTGTGTCCCCTGCCCTGGTTGCTCAAAGCACGATGCAATTGGGCCCGCCACAACCGTGAAGTTCTTTTCCACCCTATACACGCGGTAGTTCGCCGGCGGATCGCCGTCGACCATGCCGTCGTTCAGGTTCGAAGGGGGCAGCGCCCGCTGTTCGAAGGGGGTATACGCGGGGGCGAAATATTTTCCAGTTTCCTTCCCGAATCGGTCGACGTGCATTCCGGGAACGAGCGTCTGGTTGCCATAAATGGGCATCTGCTCTGTCGAGAGCTGGAACCCATCCAGGGGTGGGTACATGAAGAACCCGGAGGTTGCGTTGAAGTATTTCTCGAGGAACTCGCCCGGACAGAGGCCACCGAAGCGGTCGTAGTTGGTGACGATGGTGGAGAGGGCGTGGGTGTCGGGAAAGATCTCGGGTCCGAGACGCCAGTCGCCACAATAATATTTCGGGTCGTCTCCCTCAGTGCCGCCGCAGTCGCATGAATGTTCCAGCTGGAGGCTCGGAGGTGCCGGCGCCTTGGGAGGTGATGATTCGGGAGGCGATATCTTTATTAAAGACACTGCGCGAGGTGAGGAATGATCATCGGATGCATGTAGTGGCGCAGCAACGATGGCAGGGAAAATGTAGGCAGCGACGAAACAAGAGAGGGGAATAAGCATCGCGGTTCGAGAGCCTTGGTTTGGTAATGCTCATCTTCGAGTTGCGCGTCGTTATATATGCGGTCCTGGAAGGTGCGCGATATTTGCCGAATTGGAAAGGTTAAGCGGATGAAACACTGCATACCTCTCATGTAGCGCATTTCTTGGCGGGAGAGGTCAACTGAGGTCAACCACAGCAGAAAAAAAAAGGCGCTCCAGGATCGGTGCCCCCGGTGACTCATTTCCCCGTCCCAAACAAAGTCGGTGTTTCGCAAATCTCCGGCGCGGCGCGAATCGCCACTCGGCGAGTCGGAGGTATATATCCATTGCCGGAGGGGGAAATTGAAGACCGACATCGTATGGCGTCTTATCCTGTCGTATCCTTCCGTCTAGCTATGCCTGCCAGCGGCCCAAGTGTCAGTACTGGCCGCCGCTGCCTGTGCCAGTTGAGAGTCGTTGAACTCCAGAATTTCCATCGTCAAGTTGTCCCGTTGTTGAGGAAGGAAGTAAAAGCCAAAGGCATGAAAACTCAGAGATGCCCTTCAAACGCGAACGAGTACTAGCGAGTAGTAGTAGAATCAAGAAACAAAAAAAGCGAAAAAAAGAAAAACGCGATCACGGGTTTGAGATTAGCAGCACTGCCACCCCTGGGCTCGGAAAATGGGCTATATTCTTTTGAGAGGTTTATGTAACGACAGGGATTATTAGTGACTAGCGAATAATCTAGAGTACTAGTCGCCAATATCTAGGGCATCAAGCGCTCTTACTTATAGCGTTTTCAAACTGTGAACATGCAGCGCCGTACTTTTGTACAAGGTTGCAGATGTTTCTTTACATAAATGATAAATTCGACTAAACAGACAGATCTAACTCCACCTTCCCAAATCCCTATGGTCACCAAACTCTAGAGTTTGACCTTCGACAAGAACCCACGGTTCACCAATGTTTCGATATCAAACGAAGCAAGATACTGCGTTCCTTGTCCAGGTTGCTCGAACCACGCCGCAATCGGTCCCGCCACGACCGTGAAGCTGGTCTCGACCCGATACACATGGTAGTTTGCGGGCGGATCCCCGATCTTCCCGTTGAGGCTGTTGGGCGGCAGAGCGCGTTGTGCGAAGGGCGTGTATGCCGGGGCAAGATACTTCCCACGCTCGCTCCCAAACCTGTCCAGCCGCATGCCGGGAACGAGAGTCTGGTTACCGTTGATTGACATCTGCGTTGTCGAGAGTTGAAAACCTTCTTGCGGGGGGTAGACAAAGTAGCCGGAGGTCGTGTTTATGTATTTCTGCAGGAACGGGCCGGGGCAGAGACCTCCGAGGCGATCGTAGTCGGTGACAATGGTAGAGAGGGGAGCGGTTTTTGGAAATGTCGCTGGTCCGAGACGGTAGTCGCCGCAGAGGTATTTTGAATCATTGCCCACCGTACCGCGACAGTCGCATGCTAACTGTAGAGGGTGGTCAGGCGCTATAGCAATGAGAGGAGAAAAAATGTTCATCTACCGGAGAACCCACACCTGCAGGTATAATCGACAACGCTAATGCGACGAAGGCGCAGCACAAAGAGACCTTGAAGTGCATGCCCATGCAACTTTGGTTCAATCACTGCTTGGCTTCGTTATTATATACGCCTTCGGTATCGTACGACGGAAGTCCACCCATTCGTTCTGGCGTTCTGTGGAAAGCGAGGAGGCATCCGGCGCAGACTTCGTGTGACAGTCTCAAGTACGCATACGTTGTTTAGAACATCGAAACGTGGATGCCAGCCAGAACCCGGCCTAAACTAGGCGGCAGACACAGAAGTTGAACTCAGGCAAACCATCGCGCCCCACTGCGCAATTTGTCACAGGATTGAAGCATAAAACGAAGAGGCAAGCCAAAGGGAAGCTTGAAAATTGTGTCCGCCAGTGAAACCCAGCCAATGCTCTTAACCTTCGAGCACGAGATATTTACGCCACGCAGTTGTAGAGTCCTTCTCTTGAGAAAATCATTGAATGAGTCTTACTACACCGTGCAGTAAGTGCCACCCAGCAAGCCAGCACGCGGCGCGCATAACGTCCAAATATACAGAGGACATGGCCCAGGGTTCGAAGACGAACGTGCGTCGTGAATCACGGATATCGTGGTCAACGCAACGTTTTCTTTCTCGGAACGGTTGAACGGTTTTGTAAAGAATAGCACTTCAACGTTTCAACCTCTAGTCGGTTATCATCGAGGCCCGAGAGTCAACTGCGTTCCAAGAGAGTCTACTTTTTTTTTCGAGCTCTGCTCGTCTTTCAGCTGAAGATTTTGGGGCAGCATACAGGGTGCCTGTTTTGCCATGCGTGTCCGGTTCCTTTGACACGTTCCCATTATTTGCTTCGGCAGGGATAGAGGGAATATCACACCAACCAGAAGGCATCAACCGAGCAGCACGATTCTGATTTGGGCGTGGTACAAGCTCCACGAGCTACGGTCTTCCCTCTTGTCACCCCATGGAAGTTTTTGTAGGCATGGTACGAGACACCAGTTTGCGCACTGCCAGGTACTAGTAGGTATGAGGAGAGCCTAGAGAGAAGTCTACCAGTCGGCAGAACGGAGACATGACGAGGGTCTCGTATAGGCTGCTTCAAGGTGAGGTTTTGATATGACCAAGTTGTGAACGCGCGAAAATCTGCCAGCAGCGTAATATAGTACATCAGGCTCTCGTCAGGCTCCAGTTTCGGTCTCGCTGATCCTTTTCGTGGGTCCTTGGAATTGTTTTTGCCAGGAATTGTCGAAGTAGTAGGCACACATCAATATTGGAAGTTGGTGGTGGTAGCTTGAAGGGAATAAGTGAGAGCGGGGTTTGAAATCCGCTGCAGTTCTGCGTGGAGTTTCGGGAATCGGGCCGCAGGTTGAAGGTTAGTCTGAGAAAATCGATGACAACGGGCCGATATATGGTGTATGTGTGCACGTCTTTTCATGGCCGCCTGGCGAAATGGCATCGCGTCTGACTACGAATTTCAGAAATACGGCATCAGGAGATTGCAGGTTCGACCCCTGCGGTGGTCATTGTTTTGCACTTTTTGGTATTCTTTTTGTGCACTAAGTCCACATCAAGCCCAGACTAGCTTTATCGTAGTTGTATTTCATGTCCTTATCGAAAAGTGAACAGTGGTGGTAAATATCTGTACATGCACAAAATCCAATGGTATGCACTTTACAGATCCAAAAACAAATCAAGTGCTCAAACTCAGGCCGCAGCAGGCATACTCCGCTTTCTAGCTGCTGCACCCTCCTCGAGGGTGGCGAGCACAAAATCCCGTTTCAAAACCTGGTGTGTCTTGGCGTCTTTGAACCCTCTTGTGCGCGTCACTTCGATGTCTGTTTCGGTAGTGGTGTCCTAAAATTCGAACCACATTTTCAAAAAGTATACATTAGAGAAAACGCAGAACTTACAACGATGAGGCTCGATTTGACCCCAAACACTGCGTCGCTGGTGAGGTATGGGTCTCCCTTGAAGTAGAACGCCGTCACGAGTTTCTCAAATCCGGGGGCCTGCGCATGGAGGATGATTTGAAGTCCAACCGAGTCAAGAAATTGAGGTTACCTCGAGCATCATGTGGAGATGCGCGGGACGAAATACATGCCGGCCCAGAGATTTAACCATCATACCCACGGGCCCATCGCTCGGGATTGGGTAAGATACAGGGCTGTTGGGAGTTTACCAATAGAAAGGTGAGCTATAAAATATTGATCACTTACACGACGGCGCGGAAGAAAAAGGACCCGTCTTCCGTTGTATGGAGACGGCCGCGACAATCTGGGCCCCCGCGCTGAGTGTACTGCGTCCGATCGTCAATATATGCGCTGATATATCAAGTTGTCAGAAATAATATTTCGAACCTGGGTATCATACAGCCCGTGCCCATCCGTCTCCCAGGTGTCGATGAGACAGTTGGGAATTGGGTTTCCCTTGGTGTCTAAAACCTTGCCCTCAACCCATAAGTAGTCGCCTTTACCTTCGGAAGCGATGCTCTCTCCGTTCTCGACTGAAGTGAATTGGTTATGAAATATGCAGGGTAAATGAATAATCATCCTGACATTCCAAGGCATCCGTGGTAAAAAAGGGGCCCAGGACCGTCGCTTCCGTCGCACCTGGGGGCTTAGCGTTGTTCATAGAGTCCACGAGGCTTGATACGCCAAGGGCATCCGAGAGCAGAATAAATTCTGGACAATGTGCATGAGATCACGGCGCCAGTAATATTCGCATATAGCTGCCTTGGCGGATATCGGTGCACTTCTGGCCAGTCTTTGTGAGGAACTCGATCGCAGTCCTATCATCGTCCATAAACGAATTCCTAAGCGGCGATGAACGAAACAGAACTTACATCCATTCCTCTGTCGTGACGGACGTCTCGCGCACAAAATCGTGCAGGTGGGTAACCTACATGGATTTTCGTTGAGTTGTTGAACCACGCACGACTGGCTGAACATGGCCATACCAGATTCTTGAATATGAACTTCATCCTCTCATCCGGACCTAGAATCAAGCCCGTCTAGCGTTACGATCGTACCTTGAACACAGATAACGCGTACAATTGGCATTCATGGCGAGCACATTCTCCGTGATTGACTCTGGCGACATATCAAGGTTCTTCGGGAGTTTCGAGAGATCGACCCCATGCTCAGCAGCCAGCTTGTTGGCCTTCAGCGCTGCTTCGTCAGTGTGGGCCTCGGGCATGGTAGCTACTTGGTGATGGTTCTGTGGAAGGAAGTTCGGGGTCACGTCGAACCCATGATCATCCGTGGCTTCAACATTGAAGCACAACCACGACCACGTGATCTCCGATTTGAACACGGCAGAGTACAATTGGCGCGTCAATAATCCTTCGGAACCCACAGGAATACAGGATTGAAGACGATCAAAAAGAGCCTGAATTATATTCCGAGTACATAGACGCATCCGACCATATCGGAGAAGGAGCCTCATCATAAGTATTATGAGGGTTATAGGTTAAGTTCGATGCCGCGGAAGTAAAAGCGCCGTACGATGCGGCATTGGGGGGATTCGAGGATTGGTAATGCGGAGGATTAGAATACATGCCATTGGGTTCGTAGAAGGATGTGCCGGAGAATAAACCGTCCGGGGCGGAATTGTCTAAATGCCATCCATACGCAGCATACTCCTCATTGAGCATGTATTTCGCGGGCGGAGAGGACATAGAGGACATCGGTGCGGGGCGTAAGGATGGCCTGGGGTAGTCTTCGATCGGCTTGGGCGCTCCAGTCGAGAACCGACTGCGGTAGCCGGCCCTAGGAAATCCGGGCGGCAGAGGAGGCTCTGAGCGAAGAGGTGGTGTATACAACACAGGCGCTGGGGCAGGCTGGCATAGAGAAAATTCGTAGGTGACAGACCGAATGGATTGGTCGTCAACTCCCGGTGATGTAGGAAGGGCATGGAAAGGTGCGCGAGTCTTTAGGATATCTTGTTCGATGACGCATTGGAACAATTCTATAAGCCGGATGAGAATCCCTCGCAAAGTCGTTGAAATATATAATTAAACTCACGAGCACTGCGGCTTACTTGGGCCCAAAAGTGTGGGATTAGCCTGGTGTTGTATGTATGTTGTTCCTTGCTAGGAGTAGAGGATGTAGACGCGTAGCTCAGATCTGTAGTCTCTGAGTGGACGAGGGCCCCGCCGACAAGCACCCGGAAATGAGAGTAATGTTGCGAAGTGATAATCTTCTGCGGCGTTGAGAATGTGAGCACAGGGTCGGCGTTTTCTATTTCCGAAGGATATTCCAAGGCGAGAGAATGGCGGTTTGGTTCGGAAGGATTGGGAGCGACGGAACCGCGAATAGATTTACGACTGAGCGGCGCAGATGCCGATGGAGAAACAAGTTTAATTGTGACGAACGTTCTGGGAGGTGAACCAGCAGTTGGCAAAGGAGACAACCCGATATTCACGAAGTCGGAGGTAGGAGACACAGGGGAGGATACCGACAATGGAGAGAGGGAAGATTCGAGTGGCGTGTTAAGTTCCATTGTGGGGTCCCATTCTGGGCAGTAATCGCGACGTGACAAGAGATCCAGAACTAAAAAACGTTGTAAATCGTGTCACGATTCGCAACAGCCGACTTACTTCGCTGGTCTTCGCATGTGTCCCGCATCTGCTGCAAGCGACTTCCCACTTGCTTCGCCGTCCTTCTAACTCGCGTCACGTTAAAAATATGGTCACTGATAAAAAGATTGCGTTTGGGAAAACGGCGAAACAGTCGGGGATCGCGCAGGCTGTTGGTGGGTCGGTACTTTTCGAGTGCTAAACATCACCAAAAAAAGAATCAGATCTGTACAAGCCAATCGAATGTTCCGACCTTCGATGAGCACGGTCTCGAGCAGCGGGGACCACACAGCTTCCGTGCGTTCCTTCGTCCTTTTCCAGCATCTGCGACCTCGGAGGATGGGAGGGTCGAAAAGGTTCAAGCTCGACAGATTACTGGAAGATGCTTGGGCGGACATGAAAGTTGAGGGCGAAACGAAAGTACTCCGTTGTCCTTTTGGCAGACATATTCCATTGAATCGTCGCTTGCAATTATTACTCACCATTAACGGCACAATCTGGCACAATCTCCTCTTTTCAGGGACATCCCCGCTATAATCTTGACAGTTGCAGTCTCTACCATCTGGTTCCGCTTTGATTGCCAGGATACTTTCCCATAAGGAAATGCGTTGAACTCCGTCGAGTGCAGGTCACCGCGCGTGCCTGGCAGATCATGAGGACACGAATCGCTTAGAAATACCCCAGACGACACTCTGTAGTGGAATTTTGACAATCACAAGCCTGGGGGAAATCAGAATACCTCGAAATTATTTATTCCACGACGATGGAGTCCCATGAAAGTTCCGAGGAGAGGAAGCCAACCAGTGACGAGAAAATGTTCTATCGGAAGTAGATTGACGACAACGGACCTTGTTCTGTATTGATGGAGAGTCGAAGTGGGATCGAATCGGTTCTGCAGTCACAGCCACATGTCTTGACAACGTAAACTTGGGCGGAACAGAATATAGCTCACAAAAATCCCTGGCCGCCAGATTCCTGTCAATGACAGCCAAGTCAAAAACGATAGACGTTTTCGATTCAGTTGAGAGCTTGGCAAGAGTCGGCAAGAACTTACCCCAAGTCTTCAACTGGCTCACCTCCGCCTCGGCTGACCTCAAATTTAAGACCCTGGGGAACCTATATTGCGTCGGCTGCTGAAGCCTTAAAATACTGGTGGTAGTCAGAGGGAGCGAGAGAGTCGGAGCCAATTCGCGCAAATTGGCGCGAAGGTTTGCTGGCGACGAGTTGCTTCAGCTGAACTTTGCGAAGTTTCCGCCGAACTTCCGGCTAAATCGGAATTCTCTCTCGTTTTAGACTTATGTAGCTAGAAGGCAAGGAAAAGGAAAGTTGTATGCAGAGTGGCTGTGTTGCGGTCTAGACCACACCTTTCCGCTTTTGGACTTTCACCTTCCCCACTGGGACGCAGCCGATCCTTCTCCTCCTCCCATCGTCGTCGACTTGAGGGCAATTTAACATGTCTCCGTCCTCCCGAGCAGATGATTCTTCGACAGATGAGGACGATGCAGCGTCTCAGACCACTGAGGATGACCCTCAGGTCCGGGAACCCCCTGCTCCAGTCCCTGGACCTGCGGCGCCAATTGCTGGTCCATCCATGGTCACAAGTCGTGAAAAACCCAACTACGAGCTCCGGCACACCATACGGGGGCACACCATGTCAATTTCTGCCGTCAAATTTAGTCCGGATGGGACTCTGCTTGCATCTTGTGGTCCGTGCGCACCACCCACCATGCGTCCTGCTCTTGATAAATACTGGACCTTAGGCGCGGAAAAAATGGTCAAAATATGGTCCCCGTTCACCGGCGAACTCATAAGAAACCTGAACGGCCACACGCAAGGCCTGTCCGATATTGCATGGTCGTCTGACAGCGTGTATCTCGCGTCTGCATCCGACGATACAACGATTCGCATCTGGGAGGTCGACTCCGTATGCATGCGACTCGTCGCGCG